CCCCCCCCCCAAATCCCTTTGTCCCCCTTTTTTTTATCGCACCATTTTCGCACGACCAGATGTTCCCAAGTGTGTGATGAAAGTAAATATTCCAGGGGTAATCGAAAGCATACAAAGCACATTCCGACTAACAACGTGTCGCTACATCTTTTCAGATGTTGGTCGTGTGATGGAGAAAAAGAAAATATCCTTCATTAGCTCAACTGCTTCTAGTAGAACAGACACACCAGGTCGTTGGCATAAGACTGCTCGGGAGTTTTTTCACAGCAAAAGTGTTAGACTGAAAAAGGGGGGCTTTCGTACTCACGTATCCTTTTATTTTGACGGCTTTCGGGCGCCTGTATAATGTGTGTGTGTGTATGCGGGCACATGAAATCTCTTCTCGGCTTGCCCGTACAGAAAAGGCGAGCTTTGGAATAACGAGCACATGTGCACGAAGGTGTTTCGCGGCAGTCCCTCGCCGCTCTGTATAGTCTGCGAACGCTATACCTCCTCCTCCCTCCTCCTCCTCCCCTCCTCCTCCTCCCCGCACGCGCGCGGGTCTTTGCGCCCCGCAGGCCGCAGGCGGGACGCTCCTTGAATACAGCATTTGACAGGAGCTGGCCGGGGGTTGTGGCCGCCGCGCTCGCCCCGTCTGCTGCACGAGGGTCTTTCACCTCCCCCTATACACACTGCCGTGCGGGGGTGCTACGGCCTCTCCGTTTTCCTCTTTTGCATACCCCGACCCGCAGCATGAGGCTGGCCCGTGCCTCTCTCTATGTTTGCCTTGGTCTGATGCGCATACGTTGCCGTACGCCACAGTGTCGCCCATGTGGGCCACCCTCCGTGGTTTATCACGGCAATGACCGCCTGGCCCGCGCCGTCGCCGTGCCGTACCGACCACTTATTTTGGTTTTTTCATTGTTATTATCTTTTATTTCAACAACAGCAGGAGCAGTATTCATTTATTTATTTTCTACGTATGGATTGTGTTGGTTTTGTTTCTGCTCCGCCCGCCTTTTTGAAAGTGTTTTTTACATGCTTGTATTTTTGTTGCCTTTTGCAGGAGGCCAGGGCAAAGGCACGCTGGACCTGCTGCTGTCCACTACCTATTGCCGGTCCCAGCTGTATCTGTCCCGCCAGCTGGCGCAGCTGCACCCCGAGCTCACCATGCCCATGTTCTCTGGTGAGTGTGATAGAAAATAAGAAAAGACAACTCATAGTTTCCTCCTGTAACATTCTAGTTGAAACACGGTGGATTAAATCAACAAATTTTTAAATTTTCCATTTTTGATTGATAATGCTACGAATATCAAATACATTTCGAAAATTTTAAAACTGGGACGTGCCGTGAATATATGTTCGTTTTAGTTTTCACGACTTTTTGTGTTGAAAAGTTCGGTAACCACAGGCACAGGCCTCCCCATAAATGCTTCAGATTGTTTGCGATACAGGGTGGTCAGGTTCCGCTTGAATTTGTTCCCTGGGAGACTGATTCCCTCCTGTCGACGCGTTAATCCCCCCCCC